TTTCATTTGCAGACGATATTAGCTGGCAAGAGGCAGTGTGTCTGATGGCACACTCACCGCGTAGGCTTTGCGCTTGCAAAAAATAAAACTCTATTTGTCTTTGTACGCTCCTGTTTGTAAACACACACACACACACACACACGCACACACACACCCCACCTCCCTTTCTTTCAAGTAGTATCCCTGCTTCGTCTAGCAGGCGCTGGCAGCCCCTGTCACAACCTTTGCATGCTGCTGCTCCTAAGGAAGCGAGCGGCGCTCGCCTCCTTCCCCGCCCTCAGACGCGGAGCTGCCGGGTCCTGCAGATTCAGCCAGCCAGGGCGCGCAGCACGCTGACCACTCCAGCTCTCCCCAGCTCACAGGCGCTGTGCAGGCTCCACCACGAAAACGTCTGTCTGGGTGGCAGCATCGCCGTCCTGTGCTTTTGGCAGGAGAGCCACTCTGCTTTAAAACCTACCAGAGAAAGTGCAGGTTGCTCTGCAGGGGCAATTCCTGCCACCAGAAGGAAGCAGTGGCCAGGACAGGTTGTCTGCACCTGAAGGGGGCGAAATGCCTTGGCAGGGCTGGAAGGAGAAGACCTGAGCTCGCAGAGCCCAGCACAGCAGCAGAAGCTACCTATTTGTGGAGGAAACAGCACCAGCACAGCAAGGAGGCAGCTCTGGACAGACCCCAAAACAGCTGTGGAATTTCTCCAGAAGCTCTGGGTGCTGTAAAGGGGAGGGAAGCCCGGCCCCCAGCCCACCCACCGGACAGAGGCAAAGCCTAAGACCAGGAGAGAATGTGAGGCATGCCAGGATCCCAGGCTTTGGAAATCCATTTCCCACATTCTCCCCACACACACAAAAAAGAGCGCTCGTGCCCCAGATCCACAACCTTTTACTCAGATTGCACACTGTTTCCTCAGCTGAACAACCACGCTCCAGCCAGCAGAACTTCGCGCCTGAGTAGCTGCTACTTGATGCTGAGAAGGGCTGCAGGGCTGACTGACAAATAAATACAGGTGGCAGTGTAAGACCACCCTTTTTAAAGGCTGGTGCCCTGCGCCAGGCCCCAAAGTCAATGGCTGTATGGGCAAAACCACAGATCACTGGGTCTTTGGTAGAGTCACATCAACATCACATGCATCCCTGCAGACCTGCATCCTCCAGGCACCATCAACTGATTGGGGTCATGGTCTGAAAAATATTTCACTGCCTTGGAAAACTTAATTCTGCTCGAAAAGATGGTTTGTGCATTTAGAAGTATAAGCCTCACCAGCTTTCTGAAGGACCTCAGATCTCCAGTGCAACTAATCCCCCATAAAACTCCAGCAGAGGAGCACCACGGCTCCTACTTTGTAGGTATCGGTCCCAAGCAAGGTCAGCTCCTCTGTACCAAACCCAAACACAATATGGCATTTGTTCTGAGCACCATGCAGTAAAAAAAGATGTGCATTCACACCCTGGAAAGCTTACAGTAGGCAGCCCTGAGCTTAAAACCCTTGCACGCCAGCTTGCTTATGCATACCCCTGAATTTCACCGGGACTAGAGGTAAAACCACGCTGAAGCCTCCATCAGGCTGTGGCTGCTGGAGATCCTGCTCCGCTTCACCAAAGGGTCAAAGCGAGAGCCCTGAAGCGGAGCCAGAATCAGGTAGAGGAACATACCCCAGGATTTTGGCACGGCTGGAGGCCCGGGTGAGTCAGTCGGGGAAGGGAGACAAGCGCCCAGAAGCTGCTACCTGCCAGCTCCCTGCACGCTCTGCTGAGCCAGAGCGCATCTCTGGGCGAGCGGCTCATCCCCAGTCAGTGCCCGTACACGTGTAATTTAAAGGCATTAATTAAGGCCAAAATAACACCTCCTGTCCTGCTGGCATTTCTGACCTGGGTGTAATCTCATCGTCACCGCCACCGCTTCCGAGGAGACTTTGCGATGCGCACAAAACTTCCATCAGGTGTTCCCCACACAACTTCCCCCCGCTCTCCCCAAAACAAGCAGCAGAAAAACAAACATTTTCTTTTTCTTTTTTTTTCCCATTTGTCTTTGCATACCTGGCAGGCTGTCCAAACCCTCCGACAGACGTTACAGGTTTGAACCAGCGATTTCGGCTTTTTAGCTCTACTGCCAACAAAAGCATGTGCACGGAGGGAATTTTCTGCAGAGCCCCGTGCTGACGATACACCGGTGACACCGATGGTCCCAAATTGTCCCGACCCCATAAGCCTCCGCCAGCGTTACTTTTACATGTCACCTTTCGTGCAATTAACAAGAAGCTCGGATGCAATCTGAGGACCCACGAGCAGGGGAAGCGCAGCGTGCACAGCCCAGCCGGCGGGACCTTACCATCAGCCCAATTTGCTTTGTTCTCCCTGCTGGCTCTCCTCACACCCCTACCACAAGCACCCGGCTGTGCAGGCACATCCCCAGCCCCGAAACCTCGGCACAAAGCGCCGGGCTCAGGGATGCCGCCAGCCCTCGGCTCGACCCCGGTAAAAGGCAGCAGCATCGGCGGCAGCAGCAGCAGCATCTCCCTCCCGGCTGCTGCAAACTCCGAGCCGCTGCGAGCGTGCTTTTCGCATTGCATTTTCCTAAAAATAATAATAATAATTAAAAAAAAAAAAAAAAAGCGAATGTGTTTTACCTGCCGCCCAGCCGCTGCGGGTGTCTCCGGCGGCCGCCAGCCCCGTCCTGCCGGCGGCGGGGCCGGTTACGAAACGCCCCGGCCGGCCCCGCGGAGCGGCGGCAGCGGGAGGAGCGGCGGGGGCGAGGCGCCCACCCCGCCCAGCACAGCCCAGCCCAGCCCGGCACAGCCCAGCCCGGCACGGCCCGGCCCCGGCACGGCACAGCCCGGCCCCCGCCGCCGCCGCCGCCGCCTCTCTCCGTGCCCGGCTCGCTCCCACCCCACCGACCTTGCCCGCTGCCGGCCCCCACAGCGCCGCCCCCCGGCCCCGCTCCTCAGATGGCGGCGGGGCCGCCCCCGGCACGGCCGCTGAGGCGCTGGGGACAGAAGCAGTAGGGTTGGGAGATCCCGGATCACCTAATCCAGCCACCCCCCCACCACCGCTGTCAGCACTAACCCATAGGAAGAACTTCTTGACCGACAGGGTTGTGAGGCATTGGAACGGGCTGCCCAGGGAAGTGGTGGAGTCGCCATCCCTGGAAGTCTTTAAAAGACGTTTAGATGTAGAGCTTAGGGATATGGTTTAGTGGGGACTGTTAGTGTTAGGTCAGAGGTTGGACTCGATGATCTTGAGGTCTCTTCCAACCTAGAAATTCTGTGATTCTGTGTAAACTGTGAGGGTGCCCCCCCAGCTCCTGCAAGAGCCAGCCTTGTTCTGGGCAAGCAGCTGCCCCTCGTGTGAGAGCAGCGTGGTGCCACAGCTCCGCACTGAATATGTTTGTTGTGACGGAGAGAGACCTCCATAATCAGCAAAACAAACAATTTTCACCAAAGTCCGTGAGCTTTCTTCCCCTTCTCCCTGCTCTCCTCTGCAAGGGGCTAATTGCTGAGCTGGGTCTTAAGCCAGGCTACCACGGGGGAGAGATGATAGTGCACTCACTAGTACAGCTGCAGGTCCTGCCATAAATATTGAAAACTCAATTACCAGTCTCCGTATGAGCATTCAAAGCAGATTTGCAGATCCCACTGTGTTTCTCGGATCAAAGCTTTCTCATCAAATAATTGAGAGAAGGCTGGGGAAGGCAAGGAGGCCAAATTCCCCTCAATCACGTCTGCCCCCAAAGTATCAGTCATTTCCATCTCTGACTTCTCACGACGTATTCACACCGCAAACATTTCAGCACGTGCAGCTGGCTTTCGTTTCTCCACGAGAGGCTGGAAGGACAGCACAAATTTCACTGCTGTTCCCCCTCTGCGCCCAGCTGCTCAGGACGCAGCCCGCGAAATGGCGGCCATGGGGGCACAGGCTTCACTGCGGGCCTGGGCGCTCGGCCGCAGCCGTGTTGCCAACTCGGGGGACTGCTTTGGGGGTTGTTTTCACAGTTATGGAGACCCTCAGGGTGAATTTGCATCACATATTTGTATAACATCACGGTTTTTGAACAGACACCTCACGTTTTGGAGGTGAAGCTCCATGGATGCCTCTGTGTGCCAAGTCCCTGCCCTTGCCCAGGCCAGTTCCCCCTTTCCTCCTTAGAAAGCAAGTGGCTCTGAAGTAGTAGCACAGTACCAGATCTCCATGGTCACAGGAAAGGAAAATTCATCACAAAATGAAAACAAACATCTGACTAATCACCGGCCAGCACGGCCACAAGTGATGTCCACCAGAGAGGCCAGGGACTGTACAGATGTAGAGAAAGATAACCCACTAGCCCGGGCGGAACCCACGAGGCAGTGCTGGAAAGCACGGTGACTTTGTTAATTACATTACCACTGCGGCTACTGTGCTTTTATCATTGCAGCAGAGTTCAGAGAGTCCTGCTGAGAGCGGGACACCCCCTACACCCCCATCTGGGTTAAACGTATGGCAGAAAACCGAGAAGTTGTGCACCGGCACACAAACATGTGCTCCTGGTCCTGGAGGGGCCGGTGTGTGTGCTGAGATTTTAGCATCTGACTCCCTCTGCTGAACGCGATTAAAGTTTACGTACGCGCACAGCTCCTCGCAGAAGTGCTGCCAAATAGATACAAGAGACAAAGAAAAGGAGAAGGGAAGTATAATTACTCCCAGGAGGATTCTTGCGTTGCTGCTGTCATCCCCCAGGCTGCACCTGTTATGAGAATAAGAGTCTTTAAATCTCTAGGGAAGAAATCTTGAAAAGTTCTCAGCAATAGCACAGCCTCAGATTGCTCCACACAGTTTATTATTATAAACCTCTGTTCACAAGGACTCGGATTCGTAAAAGGCAGCGAGTTCTTTGGCACTGCCCTTTTCAGTGTGTACCTCATAAAAACTGCATAAAGGGGATCATCCAGTGCTGTGGGCACATGAGGACTGGAAGCAGCCCTGTGCTGTTTTCTGCTGCGAATTGGTACACTTACCCATTTGGCACTGAGGGACTTTTTTTTTTTTTTTTTTTTTTTTCATCTACACGTTTCTATCAATTTTTATAAACAGATTATGTCAAACAGTCGATTCTGGCAAATTGCTCTAGATGTGTCCTCTCAAGTGCAGCTCAGATCGGTGAGGTGGGGTCCAGAGGAAATATTATTCACAGGAACAAATCCCTAGAAGTGCTGGGAACCCATAACAGAGGCAGCTAACTGCTGGCTTCTATGTTATGATCACCAGAGGGACCTCTAATAGGCCATATATTTGGAGGAGCTCAATGTCAAACTTTCAGCTCCAGGCAGGAGCAAGTCACCAAATAATCATAAAACTGAACTGGAGCTTGCAAGCATTTTAAAAATAATCAATACATGTGGGATTCATTCCTTTTAGTTTCTGAGCCCACAGCACAGACTTAAGTCATGTTCCCAAGGTTTATTCTGTTACTGAGAGGCCTAGGAACTTTTTTTAAGCCTAGTGTCCTAGAGAAACAGAGTTTATATCATCACAGTCTGTGTGTCTTCCTGTCTTCCTGTTTTCCTTCAGCAGCTTTTGAATCCATTGGCCAAACTGTCAGAGGAGGAGAAACCAGGGACAGTAATGCCTCATCCTTTTGTTTTTCTTTTTCTTTTTTTAATCACCAACAGGACGTAGGAAAGAAACATCTTTGAAAACCCCCTGAGCGAGAGGCAGAGAGAATTTGGCTGCTCTCCGGTCTGTCTGGCAGCCAGCAAGCACACGTGCATGAATAGCAGTATGTAACCAACCTTCACAGCATCCACTGCTCAGCTAATTTTGTCAGACTTCTATGGTCTCAGACCTCTGGGACCAATGGGGAAAAAAAAATCACACTTGCCATAAAATCACTGATGAATCAGGGTCTGTCAAACCTCACACCTTGCATGAAGGATTCGCTAAAGGGCATTGCCTAAAACTGCAAGGCAAAAGCACAGCCCACAAAGACCGAAAATGCATCTATCAGTAAAAGCAGTTCTGGCCCAACTGGTCACAGGTAATTATCACTCCTCACGTTGATACCCTGTGATAAAACTGCGATGAATATTTTGACTCATCAAAATCTGACAGGCTTGTACACATTCCCTTGTTCTCTTCCATAAAATATTGTTTTATTGCATGCTTTAAAATATTCAGCAGAGTGAGTATTTTTACGGACTGCTAACCTGAAAACAGGCATGTAAAAAGGCTGCATACTCACAGCAACACAGCTTATGAAATTGCTTGGAGCTCCCCCACCCCCTCAAAAATACAATCTCTCCAGATAAGAGTAGAGTCTTCACTCTGCTAACACTACAGGCTTCCAGCTGGAGAAGATGGGTAATCTGCTTAGCAGAGAAGGGCAACAAAACAAGGAAACTGTATTCATCTGTATCACAGGATCATCACAAAATAACTTGGATTTTACAATGTATCCCATAGTCCAGTTTTTGTCCTCGGTTTACACTCAGAAATTTGGCCAATAGTCTACTCCTCTGCTGGTTTGAAAGCACTCATCTATTATCTATAGCCTTAAAAAGGAAGGTGCATCAGCATCTTTAGGTACAAAACTTAGGGAAGTTGCTCCTTCGGTATCCATCAGCTGCCTTTATAATCAGAGGAGATACGTCGCAGGAGGTGATTCAGAGCAGGAGACCAGCCTGGATTCTCTGAGTCACCTCCTGCCTGGACTAATCTCCCTCCGAAGACGAGATAGGGGAAAAAGCTTCCTGAATTGAAGTGCCCAAAGACTGGCAGCGTAAATAGCCCCCTGAGGCTCCCAATCCGTGAGAACACATCGGCAGAGCATGGCTGAGGCCAGAAGGGACCTCTGGAGATCCTCCTGCCCAACCTCCTGCTCAAATCAGGGTCAGCCACAGCAGGGTGCTCAGGGATGTCTCCTGCTGGATTTTGGATATTTACTGCCAGAGCACAGTGCTGGATAAACACACCAGTGGTGCTATCACTGAGGTTACTCTCTACAGTCCTGGATATTGTCTTTGCTGCGGCAGCTGTCAAGAAATGAAAGAGAAAAAAACAGCTTAGGAGCTCTGGCAATTATCTGCTGAGCTGCGCTTTCATCTCTCCTTGCCCCATCACTAGGCGATGCTTAGACAAATACACTGATATGAATCAAATCTTGAGCCTTCGTTTCTTACCGTACATCAATACAGAATCATGACTGTATCCTCTCAATAATTAATAGTATGCTGTATATTAAAAAAAAAAAAAAAAGAAAAAAAGAAAAAAGAAAAGAGCAAACATCTGTGTGAAAAATATTCTCACATCAGTGAATTTCAATTACCAAAACTTGATGGTTTTTTTAAAAAGCCTCTTCTGTTATCCAAAGCGGTGTTGAATTTGTTGCTGGGCATTATCTGTACCGAAAGCCCATTAGTCAGACAGCCCCTCATTCATCCATGGTAATTCACTGTCCTCCTCCGAGGTAGCTGAGCTTTAACAGCTAGACGTATATGAACGCAACACAAATAAATGGCATGGAGATATTTCATCATAATTTACGAAGTGCAAAAACTACTTCATTCACCGCTCGTGACTCCCATGCTAGAGCACCGTGACAGTCCTTTGGCACCAGCTCACAGGAGAATTGCTTTAGTTCGTCCCATGGCTGACTAAAAGCTCCATTGGAAGGAATGTTGAGGTAGCAAACACAAGCGTGCAAAATTTTGGAAATGCCCAAAGCAAGCCTGATCCCCTTTGACATAATCATACTCTTCAGCCACATGCGTGCGTGCTGCTTGTCACCTGATGCTAAGCTCCCCTTCTGCTCTGAGGGCCCTCGGTAGCACAACCCTGCCGCCACGCTCCCCACTGCTGACACGTCCATAGACCACCACGCCAGCTCTCCCTGTGCCCTCCGCCCTGCTGGGCCTCTTTCCTCTCTTTGGCACAATCTCCCCAGTTTTCCTTGGCAAGCTCACTTTGTGCTTTCCTTGGCACACTTCCCCCCAGCTGTTTCCAGCACCCATTTCCCACCCCAGCTCCCAGAGCAGGTTTCTTACAGTGCACATCTTCTCCATCCCTGGTCCCCAGCCCCAATCTTTCTGTGCTGCTTTTGCCCACCTATTTATGCCTCCTGCAGACATCAAGGCCAGGACGCTTCCTCCTCACGGTTTTGGGTCAAGGAGATAAATGTGGCAGAGCTGGTGTCCCTGTGCCTGTGCCAGCAGGCATGAAGAAGAGCACGGGCAGAAACCTCCAGCCGAGTCCCTGCAGCCACAGAGCAGAGCACTCTCTGAGCAGAAGAAACATCAGGCAGCTGCCAAACTTGCAAGCCTCCACCAGGTGTGTGCAAACTGCGATTTTCCAGGGGCTTATGACTTGGCTGAGTCCGGGTATTTTTCACGGGAGGTACAAAAGACACATGCTTGAAACCAGATTTTACACATGTCTTACAGCTGGCTTTCCCAAGTTCACGGCGTCCTCCATGAGAAGCTGTTCTGGGAAAAGCATTCCTAGAAAGAACAGCGAGAAACATCCCTCCAGAGGCAGGCTGAGGCAGTCATCTGGCACGGAAAATGCTAGCCTAAAAGGTTACGGTTTGAACAAATCGAAGAATATGGGAAAAATAAGATGGTGCAACTCAACTCAGACTATAATTAAAGCAAACCCAGTAGGAGAAAGGTTATTCTTTCTCTAACCTAACGCAAGTCCCATATATATTGCCCCTAGGGTAGTATGAGTCCACAGTTCACATCACAGGCCTTGAGAAGACGAAATTGCGCTGTGTAAACACCCCGCTTCATTATCACCAAACCACCCAGCCAATTTAGGGTGTTTTATGCCTCGTGACTGGTGTTATTAAGTCCTGGTTGCTACAGGCTGAACACCGGGCTCGTGTCCCACAGCGAAAGTCCAGCAGCCACCCAGGGAGCGAGCATGGCCCCGCCACCTCCTTTTAGGAGAAATTCAAGCGAGATGTAGCAGCCTGCGTGCTGATGCAGGCTTGTTTAAATAAACCTCTGCCTGACTGTGCCACCTCTCACGTGCAGGAGGAGCCACCTGGAAGCACGCTCAGCCGAGTAGCACTGCTCTCGAGGTGAAGAGTTAACAGGGTTGGGACCAAGGGCTGCAACCGCAGCGCTGAAGCTGAGGCACGCATGGGAAAACAAGCACGCTGGGGGGATTCGGTGTGCAGCGCTAGCATGGCAGCAGGGGAGGCACTTCAGCCCCACACTTCCTGGAAGTGACAGCATTTATAATGAGCACTGCAGCTGTGGATTCACTGCCATTGGAAACGAATTAGATAACAAAGCTCCTTAGGAAATCCCACGGATTTCCTGAGATAGACAGTGTGGCCAGTTAAGTATGTGAATATGAAGTAAACGTATGTTAAAATTTATTTATTTATTTTTTAATTGAGGTTACTGAAGAGAGCCCCATATACGCATCAGCAGTGGGGATGGCACTGCTTGTAGCAGGAAGCACATTAAAAACCTTTCTGTCCCCCTGAGAGATGTCTCATCAGGCTCTCCCGGCCCAGGCAATCCTTGCACAGCAGTCTCTCACTCAGGGCCTCACCCTGCAGTCCCCACACCCCTGAAAGAAGCTCAGGGGATTTCAACGTTGTCCAGTTTGCAGATAACAGGGCCATTCATGCAAACAAATGTCTTCAGGACCAGCCCTGCCAAGGCAGGGATATTCAGCCCTGTGTCAGCCTGTAGAGAGCCTGGTTGCCCACAGTTGCTGCTGCACATCCTCTTGGGCTTTCTACCTCCCAACCTGCTGAAAACTCGATGCCGAGACCATTTTGGAAAAGCATCCAGAAAGCCTTTGTGCACAACCAGGGCAGAGCCTATATGTGCTCTACAGCAGCAGTGGTGCAAGTGCAAGTGCTCTCCAAATTACTGCCTTTTCCTTGACTCGCTTAGTTGACGTGTGTTTTCCCAAAAAATCCATGTATGGTCCAAGAGGGAATAAGCTTCTTACTAGGCTGATAGATCCATCTCATTAATAGTTGCTTTCCTAGAGCTCCTGTATTCCTGTCAAGTTGGCACATGCTTTGTAGCACAGTGCTGCGTATATCACATTTAAGTTTGCTGCCGGAAAATATGTACAGAGGTTCCTAGTTCAGACCTCTGGGCTGTGAGATGTGCCTGATCCATGTGTCTAGTGTCAATCCTGTGAGATGTCAGCTCTTAAACATGCCTCTGATTTAAAGAGAGCTGTTTGAGCCCCTTCTTTGCTTCTTTCTCCTCAGAGATCTGGCTGAAGAGCAGGAAGACACGGCTGAAGGGCAAGAAAAGAGCCCAAGTGTCACTTCTGAAGTAAGATGGGACTTACACCCTGAAATCACTGGGAAGCTTTTGAAAAAAAAATATTGTGTCCCTGTCTGGACTGATAAAAACTACCTCTGAGAAAAGCTGTTCTTTTAAATATCTATCTGGGCTTGGAAAAGGCTTCCCCATGCTCAGGGGAGGAAAGAAAAGGTTAAAAGGCCTGATCTCGCCTTTCTGAACTTCCCAACTTTCCCACTGATTAAATTGCTCAGCAAATCAAGTTCTCTGACAAGTCCAAAGGGTACAGCTGGGTGTGAGCCTCACGGGGGCGAGCATTTTAAAGGCCATTAAAACTAGCAGAAGAACTTTCATGGACTGCAACAGGATTTGGACCACCCCATCAATAAGTTGCTAAATGTCTGTGAGGAGCGTGCACACGCCCTGCACACCAGTGGCAAGGAAGGATGCAGGAAAGGGAACAGATGACACCTCCTTTGCAGGGAAGGTTAGCCCCATTCTCAGATATTTTACCCCAAGACACATATTTCAGCATTGGTAATGGACCAGCTTGCAGGATGGGAGCCTACATGTGGGTTGTAGCAGAGCTGCCAAGTTTCCACCAGGGAGGCTGTGGGGAAGCTGCCCAAGACCGAAGGGGGCTTTGGAGAGCCTTGTGTACAGCTGAAGTGCTCAAGAATGCTCTGCCCATTCATCATCCTCAAAGAGAAGTGCTTGGCCGCGCTCCTCCGAGGGAGGGGAGGGCATGGCAATCGGACCCGCAGCAGCTGCCAGGGAAAAATAATCCAGGAGTAACATGAATAAATAAGAAACATTTTGCTAGTCTTAATATTACATGGCTTTCTTCATGCTCTCTCTCTAACACTTGAATTTCCTCCCAAACATTCAGTTTTTCCACAAGCCTCTGTCTATGGTTTTCAGCTCTTTTTTTTTTTCCTTATTTCTCTCCTCTTTTTTTTTTCTCTTTTCTTTGAAGAGCAGCACCCCCATCCTCTTATTCTCTCTTTTCTGCAGTGCCTTCATGTGTACTCCCCATATTCTACATCACCTCATCTACTTTCAGTTTTTCTTCACAGGTTGTTCCCTCCATCTCTCTCCCTTTAAGCCCTACTCTGCACTTTATTTGCATGTCTTTCTCCTCCATTGCTTAATTTTCTACTCATTTCTCTGTCTCTCTTTCAGGTTTGTTTTAAAACTGGCCCAACTTTTCTCCACAATCCACTTTGAAGACCTCCAAGCCCTTTCATTTCATTCTCTTCCAAGCAAAAGTTTCCTTTCATCATCATTTTCCTGGATTTTAACAAAGAGAAGCCTTTGACTCCAAACCATTGGCTTATGCTTGCACTACAGAGGTGCCACTAGCAGTTTTGGGCAGTTCCTCCCCAGGCACTTCAGGAACCCAGCTAAGGAGGCAGAGATCCTCATAGTGACAGGGCCTCTGTGGGAGAAGTGACAGCAATGTATCTCCACACTTAGGTCACATCTGCCCAAAGCTTACAGGGAGTAAGCTATTAGTGAGTAAGTTACAACTAGAGTAGTCAACACATGCTCAGAAATTCAGTGCTGAAGGGCTCCGGACGATGAGTTAGCTGAGAGCTGCAGGCCCTGGCCCTTTTGAATTATGTGACACAGGTGCCTAAAAACAATAAAAACAGAAACATGGGAAATGAACATGAAGAAAACATTTCTAGACAGAGCTTTCCAAAGCCTAAGTGTGTCTGTGCTCAACTTGAAGTTGCAAGAGTTTTGCTTTCTCTTACTCTGTTTTGACACTGATTTTTGTGTTCTTCCAGATTTTCTGCTCTGTGTTAGGCTATAGCACAAGTGAAAATATCCACAGGCTCTGAAGTCATGATCAGGACACTTTAAGCACATGGCCAAACATAATCATGGGAGACAGACCAACTCCATTGAAACCTTCCCCTGCTTGGGATTTCACTTTTCCTACCCATTGCAGCTGCATTAAGCAAACTGTGCTGCTCCCCACACGAGGTTCATTGGCCTAGGTAGTTTTGATTTGTTTAGCTGTGGCTTTATCAAAGCCAGATCAAGCAGCATCATTCTCAGTCCTAGGAATGGCTTTGTTTTTTTTTCCTCCTCTTTTCACCTTCTGCCCCATAATTCCTTCCCCACTGCTATGAAGGATATTGCTTGGCCTGAACTCCTGCAACCAGCTTCTACATCCTTGTTGTGTTATAAATACAGCACCCTGCTCCAGCCAGATCCAGCCCTGGCTGGCTTGCTCTACCTCTTATTTTATGAGGAAGTGACAGTGACTTCAGGAGACTGCCAGGCAGCTGGGGGGAAACGCTCAGATGACCGAGGAGGGCCAAACTGTAAATCTGAGGTGAGGAAAGAGCTCGCCTCTGGTCCCTCGCCCCTGCTGCTCTCAGCGTAGCCAATCTTTGCCTCACACTGGATTATTTTCGAGCTGTGAAAACAGCTGCAGTTGCAAGTTGCTGCTTGCCAGAGCCTAATATTTCTCCTACCTGTCCAGACATCCCATATAACAAGAAAGTGCTGATGGCAGTATGACAAAGCTCTCTCTCTGGAGCTGGGGCTGTGTAGTCATGTCTGCAGCTGAAGCGCCATCGCGGCCTCACCAGCGGGTTGGTTCTTGTTGGCACTGCGTTTGAAGGCACAGGGGATGCCACAGCATGAAAGATGAGAGTAAAAAAAGCAGTATTTAAGGAGTGGGGTTATCCTGGCTGTCCGAGAGGCACCGTCTTTATCTGCTGAGTGCACGTAACGCATGCCTCACCTCATTCAGCCACTTATAGCCTGTTAGGTAAGAGTTAGGTACAACCACATCCAGCACACTCTGGCATTTTCTACAGGGTATCAAAAGGAGAATCTCAGTTTATGGCCCTGGAGATAAGAGCCCTGCCTGCAGTTTAACCCCAGAGGTCTCCCCGTGCTTATCAAGGTGGATAAGCAGTGACAGTCCCTCCCGAGTGATGCACCCACACCCGCACGCTGATTGCTGGGGATGTGGAAGTGTAGGAATCTCTGCTTATCTGCGGATGGCTTAACTGCTCTTACCCCAAACGTGCCTGTTTCAGGAAACAGCTGAGTCAGACTGGCGAGAGACTTAATTCCTTCTAAAGCTCTACCTTTAATGTTGCAATGCTGTAGCAACTGCAGGGGATTGTATTCTAAAACACCTTTGATTTTTTATTTCATCTGCTTGTATCACCGCTGTCTTCCCCAGGTAACCAAGGTGCAAATGTCTCAGCAGGCTGCCAGGTTTCCCTGTGGTCACGAGGAGGACAAAGGACACTCACTCACCTTTTTCAAAGCTTCTCCCCTCAGGGTGCCCATCTGATAGCCCGGGATGCGCCTTCAGGAGCTGATAGCTGCCTTCAGCAGCTGATAGCAATCACGGTCTTTGTCTCCCCATCCTGTCCCACCTCTCTGAGTCAGTCCTTTTGTCTCCTTATTTGGGTGCCTTTTGACTGGAAGCCTGCCCCTTGTCTTTCTGCTGTCAACTCTTAGTGGCTCGAGTCTTCTTCTGGTTGTTCTGACTTGTCCTGTGCCCAGAGTCCCCGAGGAGCTGCATGCAGGTGTGCTGCGATAGTGATGACCTACTAAACTGAAGGCTTTCCCTGGCCTTACATAGAAGAGGGGAGAAACACAGCAGAAATGTCTTCCCCACTGCTCTGCTTTGCCCCTTGTCCCCACCTTAGGATCCTCCACAGGTGAGGGTGGGTGATTTTCCCCACAGCTGAGGCCAAGGCTCAGCTTGGAGGGCAACCACCATCACAGGAACATCAGTAGCTAACGCTCCCAATTCCACCAAAACCCAAGAACATCTCCAAGCACGGAGAGGAGGGAATACCAGCACTGTATGCTGCACGTAAACGAAGGGCACATTAAGCAATTGCCTCCTATAAAGCACGTTTAAATGCCTGGAGTTTCGAGAGAGCGCTTTAGTACCAGCATTGGCTTGCTCTAGTGGAGCTGCAGGCCAACGCGTTATTCGTCGCTATAATTTTATACAGCTGCATTATTTTCACAGTTTATGGTGACACTATCTCGTTTATGAAGTGCACGCAGCAGTTACACATATGGCTGTATTATTTCCAGCACTTCGAGCGCAATTAGTAATTTCGTCGAGCTAACGCTGTCAAAGCTACAGTGGCAGCACGCACTGTATTGCAGCTGTCCAAAATTTAGGGAGTGCTATCCGCGTTGATGCAATATGTACATAGCTGTTTGGGTGCCTGAGCTTGGGCCGCTGTCTCCAAAAGGTTACCAGAGACGTCAGGTGAAATTCCACCCCTCCGGCTCCTTTCAGTAAACTCGTTTATACCCGGGATGCATCTGGCCCTAGGTTTTTGTGGCTCCGAATTGCAACACGATCGCTAATCAAGGAAGCGCTGCTTCATCCCCACCAGGAGCCATCGCGAGACACAACACCAGCCTGAGCAACCAGGCCTCCTGTGCACAGACCAGGGGATGAAAGTGGCCCTTTGAGACATCTCTGCCCATAATGCTATTTTGAGTCATTTGCTAGTACCGTAAATGACTCTCAAAATTAAGGATCGGTTTCTTAGGGAAAGAGGAGCGCTGTTAAGTGGGCAGACTGGGCAGAAAGAGAAAAATGATACAAATTTCACGGGCAATTGTGCTTGCCAAAAAAATGTGCCAGTTTGCACGTCACTGATTTATTCCTAGTGTAGTAATTATCATTGTGGCTTTACCCTGCCTAATGAGAGGTATTATCTATTGCTGAGAAGACAGATTCACAACTCTGCTGTCAACTTCAGTGCTGACTTCCACCAGCATTGGCATGCCAGCCAATTTAGCCAAGGGGCGACTTGCTACTCGAAGGGACGAGAACGAGCAGTTGCCCTCGGTTCCTCCTGAGCGCCCGCAGCGTGCCTGAAACTCGGGGCTTCTCACACAGGTGTCAGACACTAGCAAACTGCCAAAATTGCGCCCCGGTTTTGCAGCATGCAAACCAGGGAGAATGAAAGCCACTTCCTGGCACATTCGAAAATTTGTTGATTTGCTTCTAGGCTTTCTTCGCCCCCCAAGCGGGTGGTACCACCGAGGCGTGAAAGCGCAGCAAGGCTTCCCCCAGCTCCCGTGGCTGCTTCTGGGACCAGCAGAAGAAATGTCCTCTGTGCCCCAAATCAAAATTAATGGGTTTTCCTACCAGCTCCGTCTTACGCTGTGCTCCATGAAAGAACGGATCTATCCTTATCACAGCCCCCTGTGTTTGGCTAAACAGAAATACGATAAAGCACTAAGAGCAGGAAGTGAAGGCAGGGTCAGGGGGATTCTCTGGGCACATCTCCCTTCACATGCTGACAGACTCGTGCATTGATACAAGGGAAAGTCTACCTTTTTTTACTCTACTTTTTGGCAGTGGTTGTCAGTTTGGCTTGCTTTCCCCTGCAATAATGTTGACAAATACATGGCTCACAGCACTCGGGTGATAGCACTTCAGCCAGCCCATTCAGACAAATGATGTTTTGATATTTACTGGCCATGCCTTACCACTTGGGCAACGGGCTGAGCAGGAATTTGTATTTAAAACCTTCCAGGACATGCTGTTCTCTTTTTTTGGTACTTCAGATGCAAACTCCCAGTGCAGGACTAAACCCATTCCACCTTCCCCGTGTTCCTCCAGCGTGGTATCTCTGCAGGGCTGGCATTTCAGCCTCTGAACGTCTCAGTCCCAGTTTAATTTTCCCTTCATCCACCTTCTCTGATCCTTACCTCATCAAAAGTAATCGCCTCATCCTGATTTTATTTTTCTGTAATTGGTATGCTTTGACTTGAGATGGAGTAGGGATGCTGCCCCTCACAGACATTGGACCTGAAAGTTCGTGTCCCCAGTTTTGCAGTAAAAACAAAAGTATTAAACTCCTGCACTACACTATGGTGTGTGGTTTTCTAGGTTTAAATTGGCCTATTTCCTTCCTGTTCTGCTTATTGACTCATTTCCTTAAATCTAATTTGAGCTTGTTATTGAGTTTTAGCCTCAGACAATACATCAGTTGTGTCCATAACACCCATCGATCCAGCAGGAAAAGAGATGGCAGCAAGAGATGGAAGATTTTCATTATTTTCACAAGAGAGAAATACAAATTATTATTTTCTGATGGGAGACAAGGAGGAACAACAGTGGATAGCCGTGGAGCAGACCATGTGTTCCTCGAGGGAACCTTATCTGCTGCTCCCATGTCCAAGAACATCCTATATGAAATCCATAGAAATACTGAACTTGGATTCATGGAGTTTTCATCAACAGAGATGTTGCTCTTTTGTAGCTGAGCATGGTAAAGATCCCTCAATATCCTTTACAGAAGAATTAGAGAAGCTTAGAATGCCTTTTTTTCCTTTTTTTTTTTTTCTTTTTTTTGTTCCTCCTGCAGTTGGGGAAACTAAGGAATGTCTGCTTTTCACTTCCACCTTAACAAACATTTGAAGAGGTTTCTGGTATTCATCCTGTCTGGATCCCACTGGGTATGTCACTTAAATGGAGTTTCTCCACTTTTTATTTTTATTTTTTAAAGAGTGGATTAAACATTTGCATTTCCAGTCCTCCAGAGCACAGATTTCAAAGGCAAATGTGTTCTTGCTTTTCTGTGCTCCCACAGCTATTTGCTCTGAGAGAAGCCTTTAAGTGTAAATAACAAGAATAATGCAAATATTCTTAATTCAAAACCACATTTAAGCCAGCGGTTTTCTAGCTTCCTTATATCTGGTCCGCAAGTAAAGACATTTTTTTTTTTTTTTTTTTTTCTGAATCCTTGCCCCTGGCTCCCTTTTTGCAAGTTAAGAGGTTTATGTCTCTCCATAGGAGTGGCTGGCTATTCAGTGTCAGCTGGGCTTGGTCCCAGCATCCAGCAACTTGAGCACAACCTTCTGTGTCTGCAAGTGGACACATTTAGACATCTAACTGCTTGATCTGCAAGAAGGTGCTGTGGCTCTGGTTTTATGCCCACACTTGAGCACGGAATTAATATTAAACTGCAGCACCCTACTTGAGACTCACATTTAATTGCACTTGAATTGTCAAAGTGCAGCCTTTGATCATAGGTGAGTTTCAAGCCCTTGCTTGCAATTAAGGAAGATGTTACAGGAAGCATCAGGCTGCTTTTGGAGTGAGAGTAAAGGAAGACGAAGAATGCAGGTGCTCTAGCAGCAAAAAACATCTGGCTCCACCCTTGGAGCTTCAATAAACTGCAAATAAGCATTGCCATGAAATGATGCTGGTTCAGTGTCATAACCTCAGATGCTGTCAGTGTCATTTTTTGTCTGCAAGGTATTTTATGGACACTAATAATGAGCTCACAGAAAGGCCTGTCAGGTAAGTGAGGTGTTATTACACTACATCTTTAGAGGAAGCAGAGCCAAAAAAAGCTGAATGACTTGCCCAAGGCTAAAGAGTGTCAAGGCCAGAGCATTTATGAGTCTTACACTTTATCCAAGCAACAGGGTCTCAGCTCATTCCCATAGTTTCTTAACCCACAGAATCTGCATAAAAAGATATCATTTCATGGTTATTTGGCCCTATTTGCTGTGCATATTTCCTTGTGTAGCACTCTGAACCAAAGCTCTGGATCCAAATAACTGATAGGAAAAAAAAAATAATTAAAAAAAAAAATTACCAACACTACTATTGTGTCTTAAAAAGTTAGATTTAGCTGGAGAGACTGAGAAGGTGCCCACCAACAATAAAACTATTTATTATTATTCTTTCCAGAGGAGACAGCGTTATCTCAGAGCCTTGGTAAGATGACTGGGAGAACACGCGTAGCACTTTTGCCCAGGCTAGGCTGCTCAACAAAAAGGCATGCCTTAATGTCCTTATGTCTGCTTTAGCAAGTAATGAGTGTCCTCCTGATTTGCTGGTAGGACAAAAATAAAGTTCCTGATAATTGTGTTGTTACAGTTTGTCCTGGCTCACTTACATCTCAGGAAATCAAGAGACACTACCAAGGACAGTAAGCTTTCCATACACCCAACTAACCACAGATTTAATGTTGGGGTAAAGCACTCCACTGGGTCCCCTCCATCCCAACCCTGTAGTACCCACCCAGCTGGCCCCTGTCCCTGCCCCACACTGGCAATAAACACATTTATCTGCTCCCCAAAGCTGGTGTGATGATGCCATGACTGCCCTTTCCTACAGGGCCCCCAGAGCACACACACAGAAGCAAAGGCATGGTACAGATACTAAAACAAGTCCAGACTCAGACAAGGCAGATAGATTAAAGAAATCCCTGGGCAGCCACACTTTCAGATGGCACCCTTGTACAGCTGGTGTACAAGTTCTGTCCCTGCTAAGAGACCCCATTGCCTTCAGGCCTGGATGTACCTGATTTTGGTGCCTGAGGGCCCAGTCCTCGGCACAGGCCTCTGAGGCCTCGCTGCCGCCCATGCCAACATTGTGCAAACCACACAGTGGCCAACAACAGCACCATTAGCTAATAAACCTCGATAAACTGCAACGAGCAGCTTTTTATGGCAGGCGAAGCACGTCATAACAGCCACCTCGTGCTCTGTGGTGCTAAACGATAGCCCCGATACCGATATCTCGGCCTTGCAGGGGCGACGGTGGCACACGTTAAACCTGCGTCACTCAGGGACAGACAGGCTTTTCTGCCCCATCCAAACTGTGCCACTCACCATGAATTTGGCAATCAGGGAAAAAAAAATCCCAAGATTTTTT